AGTTGAGAGGATTTGATACACAGCTGCCCAAAGTGGCACGTTTGTTCACTCCGAAGAGCTTCGCCAGCAACCAGAATCAGTGTAGACTACATTCATTGACCCTCACTGACTTGTCGGGATTGCTTGACTCCCTGTTGTAATGCTTGGATTTCAGGGCAGGAAGTGGTGTAATTAGAAGCAACATGAAAATTACCTCCTACAGCAACCATGAACAGGTATGCAGACTACCGGGTCTAGAGCTTCCCTTGGTCCAAATGATGCAAGGAGCATGGTCGAGTAGATGGTGATGGCAGCCAAACAAATGGCTTGGGTTGGGCAAAGCCTCCAACTCTCATGTTGAATCCTTTGACAAAATCGCGGCTAGGTGAATTGCTGTATATATTTCCTCAAGTACTCCCCTCCGCAAACAGAGAAAGTTGCCGGTACAGATCGATTGCCACAAGTTTCCTCACTTGCGAAAGGATCGTTTGGACATGTCGAAGCTTTCCCACCGCTGCACTTGAGGTCAGTCCAATGCACACTTCCAGGAACATTGAAGGATGTCGGGAACTCATGATTCACAGCGCCATGCAAAGCTGTGAGGCTGTGAGATGAGAAGTGTTTGTGGACAGGCTTCTACGTGGATTGAATTCAGTCAAGTTGTTGGACCTTGAAGAACTTGTCTTCCTCCAATTACCCCACACCTGACGGCTGGTAGCCTGTGGCCCAAGGGTCATTTGCCTTCTGTTTTTCACATGGAAAGCCGAAGAACTCTTAATAGAAGTGAAGCTGTAAGAGCGCCCAAAGAAACCCTAAAGACAAGAAACCGAACCCCAAACCCAAAGAAACCCGAAACCAGTGAAACCCGAAGACAACCGCAAAGAACTCCCTAGTTCTCCTCTCCTTGTTTCCTCACTGCTGCTTCTCTTTCGTTTAGTGGGATGCCCTTTCTGCTCCCTCGCTTTGTCACTGTCTCGCTCTCTCCCTCCCGCTGGCTCTGCTGCTTCTTATCCGGACCCTTCGGCTGCTCCTGATGCTTGTAAAGCACTTCCAGAAAAACCGCGAAAACAAACCCAGAACAAAACACTGAAAAACATTCCCAGAGAAAATCGCCACCCATTCTTCCTGGTCGCTTTCGTCAAGAGGTGGTCCATCCGGAAAGCACCTGAAGCTATGAAGGTCAATTGCACTTGGACGCCCTCGAAAGGAGATGTAATCTGTAAGGTGCTTGGCCTTACGCCTCAGTATGGGCCTCTAGGATGTTCCAAACCAATCCAAAACATCTATTGCGCTGGCTGCATTGGCTGCAAGAAAAAAATTGTAGACATGCACATAGATATGGTTCAAGAAGCGATGAGCTAGCCAATGTCACCAGCAAGCTCCTAGGCATCACAACCGTGACCTCTCATGGATGCTCACTGTGCCAATCTGCTTGGTCCTTGAGAATGTTTGGGCAGCCTACTCTACCCCATCCGCAGTTCACGTTTGTGTTGTTTTTGTTTTAAATTTATCAGAAACAGGATCTCATAGGATCTCTTTCACTCATGTTTCTCTTGGGTTAGGATCTCATCCAACACAATCCTTTAGCGGCAGACAAAGACTATGGAGCTGCGCCACCGTGGCCAGACGACGGCGCCGAGACCGACCGCGGCGACCGAACCACCGGCGGACCCGGAGGAGGCATGGGGGAGTGCTTTCGGACTCCAAGAATGCACTAGTACTAGTAGTGGTGTTGTTGTTCCCCCAGGAACAGCACAAACTGATGACGCAAAGTGAGGGACAGCTCGCAGGGTGAACATCTCCCAGGGACTAGTGACTAGTTTGCTTGTTTTTGATCCGCCATAATCCGCCTAGGTTGTCCAGGGTCTCGTACCCCACAGCCCTGTGGAACACATGGGTTTTGAACATCCAGTTTTGGCGATCCAGATTATTGGACGAATGCAACTCTATGCCGGTTGTACTTAGATAATCCATGATATCCTTAGAACCGTGCTTTGTGCAACTCCTGTTTAGACTTTAGAGTCTTCTTATTTTGTAGTGGAGTTCTAATCCTATCTCAGAATAGCAAGGACCCCAAACCTCATACAAGTCGGGCCTACAAATGACAGCCCCATGGTAAAGCCATCTTGTGCATTCCCACGATCCGGGAGCTTGTATCATCCATTTATCATCATCGGGGGAAGGTTATAGGGAGTCAAGCCTAGACACTGACACCCCAAGTCATGCAACCGGCGGTGGAGGCTCCGAGCAACAATTTCAACGAACCTGAACTTACTGACCCATCGCCAGGTGAAGAAAAAGCTTCATGGACCACAGCCCGGATCAGCGCAGACCTTTTGCGTGACCAAGTCCATCATTTTGCGGCTTTTGGGGCTTATCTATGCCATCGCGTTCAAGGTGGTGTTTTCCGGGATGGATTTCAGAGTTTGGGGGGGGCGATCAGGAGTTTCTGGTGTATTTGGGCGCCTCGGAATTGTGTGGCACGAAGTGGGTTGCTGGCTGAGTGAGGGTGCGCAGAAGGAACGGTGGGTTTGGGTTTGCTTTCCAGAACAATCTACTTTGTAGCATAGCTCAGTCATTTTGACACTGCCCATCATACAGATTATAGTATCAGTACCTCTCATCAAATTCAATTACTGGTTTACCAGTTTTTTTTCATGCTCATGGTCAGCGACACTTTTGGACATGGGTGGGCCATAGTAAGAGGCAACTCTCTGTTCGAAGAACGAGTCTTTGACTTCCTTCGGACCATTTGAACTCTTGGTTTCCCGGGGTGATCACTTTGTTTTCTCTCCAAATTCCACCTGAGGGTTGTTAGACTTAATCACAGCTGTCAACTCCACCACCTCCTCCGCCTTCTCCTCCTCCTTCTCCTTCCTTCGGTGCGAGCTCCAGAGTGCAGTGGGCACCACCGGACCAACGAGCTCAGGATCGCAGTGGGCGCCACCGTTGAACCAGATAGAATTCCAGAAAGAACATAAGAGATGCCAAACAGATTGCCAGAAAGAATGTCAGCAAGTATGCGGCATATCTCATGATAGGATGCCAGAATGCCAGATAGAATAGAATGCCAGCTGTAGAGCAGCTGGAGAGGAAGCCCAACCAGGAAGTTCGGCGTGTGTCTCACAAGACAGTTTCCATCAGACAAACATTTGCGCAGGCACTTTAAACGTCATGGTGCATAGTGCTTGAACTGGTTCATGTGATCCAACATATGGCATGTGATCAATGCTTACTTGTTTCATGCTTCCCACCATGGCATCAAACCAACGCCTTTGAAGTGCCGTGGTGGGGATCACGTGGGGGTCACTCGACGTAAAGTGTTTTTTTTTTTTTTTTTTCACAGGTCTCTCAAATATCCCAAGCCAGCGAATAGTTTGGTTATGATTTTATCCACTTTTGGGAACCACTCCCTTTGACCTTGCAGCCTGCAGCTGACCACTTGACCCAAAACCAACCCAGTGATTGTCCCACTTGCTTCTTCAGAGCAGATCTTTGCAGGTGGCATATGATCAAAATCCGAGCCTCATCGGGTCTCAAGGCTGCTTGGCGGTTCTTCAATTAGGATATATTGAGTCTTGCAACTGTCGCCCCAAACGGTGATGCCTTTTTTTAGTTAACGAGTCGCTGCTCAGCTTCTTGGACGCTGAACATGGGGGTTTGGGAGAGTCTTTTGTATCGTGCGTGCTGGGCTTTGCGAGTCCGCACGAGTACGTATTGTTATATATATATATACTGTATATATATTGGCAAGATGCCATTTCGGTCCCTATTGCATCCACACACGGCCTGACATACGAACACCATGTGTTTTTTCAGATTGAAGGTTTTCATTTGGCAAATGTTTCGAACAAAGTTGGTCCTTTTTTGTTTTTCCAAATGGGAAATCCAACGCGAATTGTTTCCAGTTTTGTGTCACCTGAGGTTTAACCCCAGTGGTCGGCCGTGTGGAACAACTGAAACAGCAGATGGCACCCATGGATGGAGCCTCGGCGATGGTGGCCAAAATACAAGAACAAACAGTGAAAAAGACCACAAAAAGGAGGTATGGGCCGGGCCTCTTAAGAAAAGGCACCCTTTTTAAAGGGCACTTAACCTTCTTTGTTTTTCTTCATTTTTCTTTTGTACCGCTTCTTGTGCCGGCCCTCTGGTTTGTGTTCTCCATGCAAAATGGAACCAATAGAAGAACAAAACTTACGAGAACGTGGTTTCCCAGCTAAGTGTCATGTGGACAGTCCGTGAGTGCACTCTCTGCTCAAACAATACCTTGGCAGCTTTCCCCGTTTGTGCGGCACTGACCAAACATTCGAATCTTTATCATGCAAGAGATTTTGGCAAACTTCAGAATGAGGCCTGCTATCGTTTCTGTAGCTGAATCTTATACATTTTGGAAGGTCGCGTTGCGCTGCACGCCCACAAGAACTCCAGTGGGGATTTTAAACAAGCAAAGGGAGATCACTGAAGCGGAGCGGCATCAAAGCCTCATGTCTTCCCGCGACTGATGGTTCTAACAGTGGGCTGATCCGCAACCCATCACAGAGAAAGGGTGAGGGGGAGGGCAATCCCAACAGTCTTCCATATGGCTGGGGTGATTTCAGATATTGGACGCCTGCACTTATCATTGGCCCGCTTCGCCAACCAAGGATTTCTGGCAGCACCTAGCATCTTCTGGTTTCTTCCATTGAAGCTTTGGCCAGGTTCAGGTACAAGGAAAACCCGCAATACCACAGAACGCTTCTAACCGATGGGTCTAGATCTAAACGGGGGAACTGGGTTGAACTGACCCACAGACAAATAAACCCCTCCAGAATGGTTGTCACAGAATCCCACTTCTCCTGCTTAAGCCCTGATCCACGGCTGCCCACTGTGGTGATAGCTTCCCGAAATCGGCCAGCTCTTTTCAAAGCCATTTGATTATGCAGTTGGGAATTGGTGGCAAATGTTGCGAGTTTTTTTTGTTTAAGGAGAGATTTATCAGATTATCAGCTCTTTCTTTGTCGCCTGCAAGGACGGATGAGGCTATGCAATTGGTTGCTGGAGCCGGGATGGCTCTTAGCTTGGCACTGATTTGCGGCTTGGAACCGAAACCACCCTGCCCAAGGGGAGGCAGGATACTACTTTCCCCGCTTTGGGCCAGCTTCAAATCAAAGGTTCGGTCCGAGTACAGTCAAAGCAATTTCTGTGAGTCTGATCCACTTCGTGACCTTTACTTTGCTCTTCTTGTTTTTCAATTCTTGTCAAGGGAGCAAATGGCAGCCGCATTTGATTGAGGTGGCCTCTTCTCCTCATTCATTTGTGCACTCTTATGGCTGCTTTACTTCTCCATTGTGACCTCTGCAGATGGAACTGCTTGGTATAGCTATGGCTGGGAGAGCCAGTACCCTGGAGTTCGAACTAACAGAACCATGATGTGAAGAACCTGAAATGGAGAGCCCCTCATAAACATGAGTTCGGGTCGAATGTCGCAAGTTTGAAGATTGCATGTTGGGAATGTATGCCTGGAGACCTGGAGATGACAGTTTACAGTCACGGTGTCCTTTGAACCACTCCAATTCTTCAATGATTCTTTTTGGCCACTGGTTTTCCTTGTTTCGAACCATTTCTTCCTTTGATCCTCGAGGGAGGATCATTCTGAACCTTTGATGTCCGACACCATTAAACGGACCTCTGGGCCAGGTGGAATCTTCAGCCCTTGCAGTCTTTTTGCAAGTGTGAAAGCATGGCAAGCAGTGTCTGCAGGGCTCATTCTTGTGTTGGGCATTGTGATGTATTGCATGTAAGGCTGTTGGAAACTGGCTTCCTGGCAATCTTTCTATCGTCGCCTTTCCATTTGTCATCGCCTCCATCTTTGCCTGTGCTATGGCTGTTCCGCTGGTTGTGCTTTAGGAGTGGGCATGGTGATTGGGTTTGGACTGGACCAAGTAGCAACCTTGAGCCTGGAAACTCTCTTGAAACGCACAAAGCATTGGATTTCTTTCGACCACTCCCCAAGCAAGTAGCCAGACAGAACAGCAACAACTCACCGAACAAGGCTTGCATGTGAGAGTCAATGAAACGATCATGCCGAGATCGGTGTGATAGCCACCCTCAACCCTCCCAGTTTTCCTGAAGGCCGCCGAGTAGATCACCATAATCAATCGGGGTGAAGAAGCACGTTTTCTTTCCATCTCCATTCAGCATGGTCCAAGGTGTACATTTTGTGCTGAGGTTTGGTGCTCTTGTTTACCATCCCTTCAAACTCTTCACACAGACTGACCTCAAAAAGCGGCTCTGTCGCAGAGTTTGTTTTCTGAGAGTTCCACCACCTCCAACTCTATACCCCGATCATCCCCAATCATGCGAACGCGAGGATTTCCACAGGCGCGGGCCTCATCAAAGTTCGCGGCTCCAGTTGCTGGACGGATCGAACCTGCTTGTGGTACCACTTCGAAACCCAGCCGACCCCTGGATGATATGAGCGGTGGAGGAGCCAAGGGCGTCTTCAAAGAACCACGTTTCAGAACCACGTTTCATGGCCTTCGGCCGAGGTCACATTTGACCTTTTTGACTTGTTCTGGGACCACATAAGTTGAGGATTGGTGCCACATAAGGAGCCATTTGCCTTCCACTTTCCTTCCTTTTTTGTGGGGTGGTCGAGTACCATACCATATACCATACTAGCATCATCCTTTTTGGCAAATGCGTTGAAACGAGTGCGCTGGTTTTAGAAAACACGTTCGGTCTGCCTGCGGTTCATTGGTGGTGTTGGGTTACTTCATTTTACTTCTAGGTTTGACCACAAAGAGATATAATTGAACAGATGAATCCTGCCACATATCACGCTTCCAAAGCAAGACCTAGGAGTCCCTGCCCAGGTGCTGGGATGAGTCTTCAGATGACCACGACGTTTGATGAGAAACACCATTTTCTTGCAGGCTTACCCGGCGTGGCTCTAAAGGTTCATCGATACACTCATCGGGAACAATTCCGAACAACCCAACCAACAAACGTGAAATCGCTGTTTCTTTCCTCCTCGTGTTGCGCAACTCTTGACAAATCTGAGGAATCCTTCGCCGCTCTCGTTTCTTTGGCATTTTTTGCCCCGTGCCTGAGCTTGAAGGTGGCTTGAGCCTGGAATGTGATCAGCATGGAAGAGGGGTTCCTGGCTCTTGTCCCATGACAACCAGCTTCTTCGCACAAGGGCTTCTTGTTGGTAGAAAGGTTGTCTCACATTTAGGTCATGGCCGCATCCTTCTGTGATGCAAAATTGTTGACAATTTGTTCAAAATCCCCACATGGGCATGTGTGGCATGGGTACTGGCCAGTGTTTCCACACAACGAAAAGTGGGAAGACAGCCGCGTTCTACGACCTGCTTTCCCAGCATAGGCAACATGCTATCGCGTGGCGTGGATCTGGATATCTTTGTACAACTCTATGCTGTTTGGCTGGTCCTGATCCCCGGATTTGGGCTGCTGAAGTATTTGAGACGGATCGGAGGCTTAATACAAGCACTCTTCATGCTCAACATTGCACCTCGTCGTTGCCCAAATCATCAAGGCTTTGGCTTTTGTGCAGGAAAAAGATTGAACTTTGAATTGAATTGCACCATTTGTCCTCCTCAATGGCCGTTGATTGATAGGGAATAATTAGAGTTCATTCAGTTGTCCTGTGTTCTCCCTCTTGCTACCCGGAGGAATTGCCCCCCTTCCGACCAACACCTCTGGTCCAAGCCCAATGATGTCGAAGAGAGAGATGTCAAACTTGGACTTCGGAGATCATGTCAGGCCATCTCTGGGAATTTGTCTTTTCTGAATCATTTGACGATCATTCCTGCGCTGGCCTGCTTGGATGACGCCTGCTGGAGCTTCCAGAGGCCCAAGGTGGTCAAGGTCAGGGTGCCAAAGGTGTGTATCAAGTGAAGGTTCGAAGGCTTGGCCTTAGGAACCGCCTCAGGTGTTGTACCTGTGGAGAAGGTGTTGACAAAAGCGTTGGCGTTGGTATGACAAGAGTGATACTGTAGCAGAAATGATAGCAGAAACCAGTTTGTTTTTGATGACACCAGAATCGGTTGAAACATTTCAAGAGATTCAGACTGAATGTTTGGTAGACTGCATGTTTTCCAGGAAACTCCGAGATCCGGAACATGCCCCTTAATCTTCAAAGGGACTCGTTGGCTTGTTGACTTGACGCTCTTTTCCACGATCGCGTACCTGTCACTTGACCGCATGAATCGTTTGACATCGCATGGATGATCAGAGTAACGTGGCCAAATCGACTTGCCTCAGCCGAGGTCCTTACCGGTGGTCACCTGGCAGAACCTGTTTGGTTGCAAGATTCTTTTGATAAGTTGCTGTGTACCTTTCAAGCTGCCCACCAAAAGTGCATTGGTGAACAACTTCGATGTATTTGGTCACTTTAGTGTGTCAAGACATATCAAGGACCCAAAGCACACGTGACGGGGTGGCTCCGTCTTGTAAATGCAACAGTTTAGCTTCAGAGTCAGACCCACCAAAAGCATCCGAAAGCATGTTCTAGACCAAGTTGTCACTGCAAGGCCAAGAACCTTCTTCAAATCGAAGGCCGTCAGATGATGAATGCCTCGTTTGGAGCTTTTCGCCTGGTCAACACCTATGGAGCCTTCGGGAATGTGGGCAAGGACCAAAGAAAAGCTTGTCATTTAGTGTCTTTCCTCCTTCACCCTGCAAGCCTATGCCTATGCAAGCCTTCCACTCGCAGTTAAAGATCCATGATAATACTGTATATACTGCAATTCACCAAGCCAACAGACTGGACCATATTTTAAGGGCTCCTTCCGGCCCAACGTCCGGAAGTTGAAAGCTTTGCACGTCTCTAACACCAGGAGCGCTATGAGGCAATCGTGTCTGTTTCCCATGACAAGCGCCAATGGCACGAGCTGGAGTTCCCCTGCAAGCCTGGGCGACTGGACCGGAGGCCCTGCAGCTCAGCTGCCATACTGTCCAAACAGGTCCGAAATGGAATGGACATTAAGGCCCAAGCAGTTCGTTTTGGTTCCTTCCCCAGGCCCCAAAAGACATAACTTTGATGTTTGGGCATCCTACCTTCGCTTGTCAGGCAATTCACGGCATTACCCAATGTTAGAGATAGAAGGACCACTCAACTTTCCAGATCGTGACTGTAGGTAGCTCTTCTTTTATTCTCCTTTGAGGGCTGTACAAAGATATGTCGCCCTGACAGCCGGTCTTCAGAACTATTGGAAAGGACTTCTGGAAGGGTTGTGATCTCTACGGGCCATAAAAATGAGGAGCGCAAAGGGATCCAGAGTTCCCCAGCCGGCCCCCTTAAGGTATGTGTGCTCCATATCATTACCGCTTGGATTGGAATATTTGGTTCCTAGGCTTCAAGCCTCACCAAGCCTATCTGCAACAAAGAGAGACCTGGATGTGGTCCTTCTTGGCCAAGATCCTCGAAGGCGGTGGTTGCGAACTCCTCCACAAAAAACGGCTGGGTGCTCAATGTATACAGACAGAGACCCTAGTCCAGATATACAGACTTTGCCGGCTGTGAAGACGGTTAACTTGTGAAGTGACGGCTCGAAAACTGGTTTTGAGGGAAGTACGGCTTCAGCAGGCTTCAGGTGTTTGTTTCAACTGAGCATGTTGGAAAGGTGTTGATTATCGATTCACTTTCACATTCCAAACAATTCAAGATTCTTGCCCGGCAAACAAATTCATGAAACGCAGACATTCTCTGGATCGCTTTCTTGCCTGATCCTGTTCCGCGTCGCAGGCTCTTGACTAAGATGCTTACGCTCATCTAGAAAGAACTCGAGTCCTTGTCCCCGAATCAGCCAAATTGCTAGACTTGCCGCGAGCTGGTTGGATGGTTAATCCACTTCAAGAGTGCTTCTTTTGCTCAAATGCTTTATACTGGTCCCGACACTGTCAGACTGTCAGGGGATGATGTGGTGCTCAAGCTTCTTGCACCAGAGACGGCCGAAAGCAAAGCCTTTTATCCTCACGGGCTTTCAGGTGGCCGAAAAGTTCCCAGATACATCAAAGTGGACATGTGGAGATACCGCACTTCGGTGGAACATTGATTTTTGTGCGTATCGTGCCTTCGAGTGTTCTTTGTTTGGGCAACCCATGATTTTAAATGGGCAGGCCGGATGGTGGTCGTGGACAGGATCCGGATCCGTGTGTGACTGGACGCCTAGGCTGGAAACAGGTTGCATGTTACACGATGGCGTGAGGACGTTTTTGCAGTCGACTAAGAGCAACACCTTGGGCCGAAGACTTGGGAAGTCCATTTAAAAGTCCTTCTGTGGTACAGAGGAGTGTGAGGGAGAATCGGGATGAAGATATGATGCGAAGTAAATCTGGTCAAACAGTGATGAGAACTGTCAGCCACTACAAAGAGTTAATCATTTTTTTAAATAGATCAAATGTACATAATCAAATTGCGTATAAGACAAAGTCCCCTCAAGCAAGTTCACGCAAGATAGAAGCACGGCGGAGTCAAAGTCAAGCCTTCTCATAAATGCTCACATTCTTGAATGAAGAGATTGATTCCAAGCTGGCAAGATATTCCAAGGTGAAAGGATCCTACAAGGGTACTCGATCAAAGGAAGTGTCAACCGCAAAAGCTTGTGAATCTATATACAAGAAGAGCACGTGCTCTTGATGATCATCCAAGCTAGTCCGCTGCCCTGCTTTCTGTTTATCTTTTCCCGATTTCCTTCCTGAGCTGTTTTCTATTTCGGTCTTGCAGCCAAGGCATGAAGGCACCTTTGTGGGAGATTGTCAAGGACCTTTATCGGAATGGCACTGCCATTTGGTGGGAGCGAAGCAAAGGGGAGCCGTTGATCCCCGCTCTCGAGCGGAACTACACGGTCTTGGTTCCTCGGATGTCTTTCTCCGTTGCAAACGCTTCTCTCGTTTGTGATGTCAGTGTTGCCCTCCTGAGGTCCAACCCTATAGGCCCTAAGTCACAGGTGGTGGGGTTTGGTTTGCTTTCTTTTGAAACTGTTTTTGGCGTTGGACCTGAATTCCGACACTCTAGTTGTGCTCTTGCATCACCACTCTTTCAAAGCTCACAATCATAGATATATACTTCTTTGATACTTTAAGACATGAGTTTTCAGACGGTATTTTTTTCGAGTGTAGCAGATGCAGGTTAGCATTCCTTGGTTGCTAGGCCGTACTATTCAAGGTGACCAGAGATCTGGAACAGCATCAACACTCGTGAACCCGAAGGGTAGGTTCCAGATCTCAGAGGTTCACCAACTGCAGAGATCTTCTATGATCTTCTGACTTCTCAGCTGTCAGGTGCAGATGTTGACGCCTGGCCAAATCCAACCACCAGTGGTCATGCAAAGCAGGACCCCGCAGTCAATTCATGACCACTGGTGCACCTCAAGACTTTTTGTGACACGGTAAGCAGGAGGACCAACGGGCTCTTTTTGAGGTGCATTCTATCATTGAAACCCGAAGTGTGGAAGAGGCTCTGCACCACATAGCAATTTTCCAAAGAGAACCGCCCTTCCATGTGCGTGTATAAGAACTGCCTAACTCAATAAGGAGGCATACTGCGATGCCATGAGGAAGCACCTCAGCTCCGTCTTTTGACAGACACAGAAAGGACGTGGCACTATTTGCCCACAGGAAAAATGCTCAAGAGCTTGAGGAAAAGTTGCGATGTCTCGAAGCTGCCAGGATGTTGACGAGGGCATTCAGACCTTCCTTATCATTCTCTCTTGAAAGGAGTTTCGTGGGATTGAACATACCTTATTCATGCGAGAGCTGGAGCTTCTTGAGGGTCGCGGCAGTCCAATTTCCACTTGGTAGGAGTACACATTTGGTTTTGCTACTGTCAAGTACCTGCAACCTGACATATGATGATTTTTTGTGGACACTCGCGGACATTCAGTTTGTGATTGTTTGTTTGATTGTCTAGATTCTGCTTGAGCCAGTGTACTGTACTATAGGGAAGAGAAACTATCACTGTGTCGTTTCTGGTGCCGGTGGTGTGAACTCAGGTTTTGCCATGCCGCCACAAGAGGTCTGGAACATTCTTCGTAGGTATACCAACAGCATCTTGTTACTAGTAGCGTCCTTGCTCCTAGTAGTAAGGCCAGGAGCCCCTAATAGCTTCTTGTTCCTAGTAGTACGGCCAGGAGCCCGTAGTAGCGTCCTTGTTCCTATGAAAACTCAAGAACACCTATAAAGATACTGGGCGCCAGGGCCTGGGTTACGTCATTCGGTCTTGCGTGAAGTCGTGCGTGCATAGTGTGTCCGGGTGCAGTGCAGCTGCATTTGGGCATCAACCGCGTTACATATTGCATCATACATGTAGAGGATTTGCTCCCAGCCAGCATGATTGCATATTTCAATATGAGAGCATCATGGACTCATGTGAGTCTAGCTCGCGCAGGACTCGCGAAGGGCTGGAGCACCCCTTACACGAAACAGCTGTTGGCTGGGACCAGTCTTCCGAAACGGTACTTCCCTATCCAATGCATGTCCCATTGTTTTTTACATATTCTATCATATTCTTACATATTTTTTCAAATGATATTTTGCTGAGGGGTGTCCCATGATGATAGGCGCTTGAAACAATGATAAGACAAACGAAACGTGTTGTCCAGTCTCTGTGTCCGCAAAGTTTTCTTACAATTCAAGCATTTCTCATGACCCTCCAGGGGAATGGTGTCTCCATTGGCTTTTGCTAAGATTTGAGTGACTTCTCGCAGACTTGGGTGACTTTACACGATTCTGGTGTCCTGATGGGGGTTGGGTGATTTTTAGCGGAGATGCGTGACTTGTAAAAGAACACCACCAAGTATGAGAGAATCTCTGTGGAAAAGAAGGTTTGATCTCTTCCAAGCCCCTCAAAAGAGGATGGTTCATGTGACAGTGCCACTGTTGATTTGCGGAGAAAGGAGTGTGTGTTTTTTTTGCCAACCAAACTGTACATGTCAGCATTGAGATCAATCTTGAAGCGGTGGCGTTTGGTTCAACAGTGCTTAGCGATGTGGTTCTATGGCAAGCCCCATAGACAGGACTGCTATTTTCAAGACTCTTTTGAAAGAACAAGCACTCCGAACATCTCCCAAGTGCAAAAAAACAATGCTCCGAAAACTTGATGCCTACTCTTAGCCATGAGAGTAGTGCCAGTGATTGTGGCCTTCAGCGGCTTTGGCACTGGCTGGAGTCTGGTGGAGCGGCATCCATGCTTGCGAGAAGCCTACTCGTCAACAGCGACTGGGGCCTTTGTCGGGTGGAGCAGTGAAAACTTGTGGCTTTTCAATGAGTCGAATGGGATCTACTTGCAAGCGAAAAGGAATACGTTCCAGCCGGACTTCGATAGGCCGAAGCTCTATGCAGCTTGGCAGCAGGACTGCCATCACATAAAAGACACGGAATTGAAGCTGCCCGCAAGGTTTACAAGTGGTCACAGGGTGCTTGCATCGCAAGGTGCTGTGATTGCAATACATTATGGTCATGATGCCAACATCGCCATCGCCAAACATGGGAAAGTTCTTTGCGTTTTGGAGCTTGAGCGATATTTTGGATTCCGGTACATGGTTCCATGGAGAAGAAACCATGAATTTCAACCGTTTATGCGGAAAGCGCTGAAAGTGATGCGTGACAAATGCGTTTGTGAGGGTGGCGCGTGCCCTACCAAGTTTGATGAAGGAGTGTTGATGGACCTGCCCTTTTACAAGCCAAAGGTTTCTGCACAGACTCCTTTCATTGTGGAAGAGGTTTTTTGGCAAGGTGGGACGGTGGCGCCATGTACATCATCATGAAGGTTGGGAGACGTTGCTTCCTTTCCATATGTTGGTTTAATATCTGAAGACCCGATAGCTATAATGAGTAAAGAAGCAAACAGGCTTTTGCTGAACAGTGAAACAGGAATAGAAACTGAGAAAGGTTGCCTGACTTTCCTGCCTTCCCTGAGGACATGCATTGTTAGGCTACTTTGCTTCACCCTTCAGTTCGGCTCTCATTGTTTCCTTTGATGGCGGTGGAGACGATGGAATTTTCAACGTCTTTCTGGGCCAGGGGGGCGGAAGTTCAGCGGATCGGCAACTTCCACGCGGCCTTTTCGACTCTCTACAACAGCTTTCAAATGCTTTTGCCAGATGTGGCCGGAAAGTATTTTGTGATGTTGCATGACCACATCTGTGGCCAGTGGCTCAAGGGCGAGCTGAAGGTGAAAGATGGCTGGTATGTGTTTAACATTTACCACCCATCTGTTCAGCTAGACTTTGCCGGCAAACTCATGGGCTACTCAGGCCTGCGAAAGCCTGGAAGGCTCACAGCCGTAGAGCAGGCTGAGCTGGAAGCATTCTTCGACCCCATGTTTTCAGAGACAGGAATGAAAGCGAACAATTACAATCATCGCTTTCCTCCAAATCTACTCAAGTTGTCCTGCACCTCCTCAGATGGCCAGAAACGGCTGGCAGCCGAGATTCAAGCACAGTTCCAGAAGCGCTTGTACCGAATGATCTCAGGGATGCTAGAACAATTGAAAGCGGCCCGGACACATGTGGAGGGCATTGTCTTGACCGGGGGATGTGCTTTGAACGTCATTACAAACCAGCTGATCCGTGATACTCTCACCAAGGAGGGACAAAAAGCTGGAACACAGTCCCATCACCGCACTGACTTCAGGCCCTTAGGCGTCTACGTGCCTCCTGCGCCTAATGATGCAGGGCTGGCAGTGGGTGGTGTTTGGGCCGTACAGCCACCGCGAATGGTGCAGCAGTTGCAATACTTGGGCTTCCCGCTCTTTGACGAGGAGATCCTATTTCAAGAGGTTCGCCAAAGAGCTGCCTCGAATCTCAACGATTTAGGAGGTGTTCACTATTTGGCTCAACTCTTGACCTCCAACTCCTCTGTGATGGGCGGGAAGCCCATTATCGCAGTGGTTCGAGGACGTCAGGAGTTTGGACCACGTGCCTTGGGGCATCGGTCCTTGCTGGCAGTTCCTGACAGCTACGAGATCAAGGTGCCCTTTTGGGAGAAACTTTTGAATTTGTTTTTCTGACTTGCACAGTATACCGCATCACCTTTAGCTTTAGCAGCTTTAGCATGCTTTTGTTCTTCATACCAATTCGCAGGAATGTTTTCTGTTGTTCTCCGAATCTTATGGTAAGATATCAATCTGTGCGTTTTGGTGGCTGCCAATTGCAAGGAAGCCTGTATTGTAGATGGCTGGGGCTGACTGCCATTGATTTGCTGGACGATTTTTCAAGAGGGAGTATCTAAATTCTGAATTGATGTCTTGATACCCATGTGCAGACATGGTCTCCCAGCCATGCTGCAGTGATTTGACAGTTGTGTAGTCGTTCATGATTGATTTGCCGACAGTGAGTGATATAGTAGGCTCGTGCTTCGGCATTTGCTGTGTCTCCAACATATCTCTCTGCCTTCCAACATACTCTGAACTGCTCCATGCTTCACTCTTGTTTGTGCAATGTATTGGCGTTGAGTAAGTAAGTTCCTGATGATCTGCGGACTCATCGCTATTGCTGCCAGTTCGTGCCCGTGCTTTGGCGCAAAAGAAAGGAACTTGCCTGGCAAGGATAGGAGTGAAGTTGCCTTCCCGGTGCGATGTCCATTCTGTCTTGGCGTGCCCTGTGGCAGTGGAGGACGGAAGAAGCTGGAATGCGTTTCGTAAGAGAAAGAACGCTCGGCTTTGAGGTTTGTCGTTTCAGGTCAGTGCATTCACATGGTTTCGAAGGGAAAGGACGCTTGTAGTAACAAGTGCATCGCTAGTAGTAACATGTGCCTTACTAGTAGTAACAAGAAGTTTGCTATTAGAATTAAATGTTTTTTACATCATCATTTCAAGCTGATTTCCGGTCTCTTTAAGACACTCTCAGTCAGGCTCGGTTGAACCGCTTGAAGCACCGCCAGTGGTACCGTCCAGTGGCTCCGATGATCGCGGAAGAGGACTTGGTGCAGGTCTTTGGACGAAAGGTGATGAGCCCCAGCATGGAGTTTGCACCCAAAGTGCTGAAGGCCTGCTGGATAGAAGTGCGGATATGTCACCGAGTTACTATATATATATATAGTTCTTTTTCACCAGATAGTTGGAAGTTACAGATTTTCTGGACTCTTAGACTCTTAGACTCTTACTTTTCTTGGAAGCATGACGTACTCGCAACTTTTCGCCTGGATTGCTGGAGCCTTGAAACACTGGAACCCTCTGACTGACTATGGAACCGGGCTTTGAACCCTCGACCGCCGAACTCTGAAACCCTAGAAATGTTGGAACCAAGTTCTGATCGCAACTTTTCGCTTGGAACTCCGGAACCAGGCTTTGATCGCAACTTTCTGCCAGAAATGCTGGAACTAGGCTCTCTTACTTGAACCCTAGAACCTTTTGAGACTCTGGAGCCAGGCCTTTTTTGCTTTCTGGAGCTGTCCCCAAATGCATTGCTTTCTAGCCTTGTCTATTTTGACACCAGGATCTGGTCGGCAGTCCTCCGGGAGGGAGAGGGATCAAAAAACAATTACTTTACTTCGAGTGATCCCCACCATGACATTTCAATCATTTGTCTTGATGCCATAGTGAGGAGCATGTTGCCATGGTCGTGAGTATTGTAGTTTTCGATTTTGCTTGCGGGTCCTCGGGTTGTGTGCTGTGGTTGTGTGTTGTGGTTGTGGTTGTGTTTGTGATTGCGTGTTTGTGGCTGTGTTTGTGATTGTGTGTTTGTGGATGTGTTCGCGGTTGTGTTTGTGGCTGTGTGTTTGTGACTGTGTTTGTGGTACTGGTAGTGGTTGTGATTGTGTGTTTGTAGTTGTGGTTGTGGTTGTGTCTTTGTGATTGTGTGTTTGTAGTTGTGGTTGTGGTTGTGGTTGTGTCTTTGTGATTGTGTGTTTGTGGATGTGTTTGTGGTTGTGTTTGTGTTTGTGGTTGTGTTTGTGGTCGTGGTTGTGTGTTTGTGGCTGTGTTTGTGTTTTTTGTTTGTGTTTGTGGTTGTGTGTCTGTGATTGTGTGTTTGTGGTTGTGTGTTTGTGGGTGTGTGTTTGTGGTTGTGTGTTTGTGGTTGTGTTTGTTGTTGTGTTTGTGGTTGTGTGTTTGTTGTTGTGTGTTTGTGGTTATGTGTTTGTGGTAGTGTGTTTGTGGTGTTGTGTTTGTGGCTGTGTTTGTGGTTGTGTGTTTGTGATTGTGTGTTTCTGGTTGTGTTTGTAGTTGTGTGTTTGTTGTTGTGTTTGTGGTTGTGTGTTTGTGGATATGTGTTTGTGGTTGTGTGTTTGTGGTTGTGTTTGTGGTTATGTGTTTGTAACTGTGTGTTTGTCGTTGTGTGCTGTGGTTGAGGTTCGGCAGGGAACACTGGGCGTGGATGGTCGTGGTTGAGGTCTGGCAGGGAACACTGGGCGTGGATGGTCGTGGTTGAGGTCCGGCAGGG